GATACAAATGACTTACAAATTACTGATAATGTATTTTTTACATTTATTTTTAATTGAATCAATAATTAATCAATGAATGATTAATTTAATTTCATTCGATTTTTTTGTTATAATTTATTACTATGATATGATAATAATCGCTAAAAATTCAAAGTAAGAATTCTAGTAAATAAAAAACAAAGGTGGAATTTGAAAGCAAAACCTCTATTTTCCAAATGTATTTCAAACTAAACAAAAATATTTTAATGACCTACATAGATTAATAAAATCATAGAAACATATTTTGTTGTTCGCAATACGAATTGCGTTGAAGATCTACTGTAAATTTTAATAAACAAATACATTACACCAACGGTAGCCCAAGGCTTTGTATGATCTCATGATCTCGTTTGTGGGACTGTTTTTGACCTCTAAATGATTATTTTTAATGGATCTTGACCGCAGGTAGATACAATTCGCTGGTGAAGTTTTACATGTACGTATGTGCGCATACATGGGGACTTGTTAAATAATTAACGCAAAAGTGTTCAAAACTAATTAAAAGTATCATTTCAGTTTGTAATCTTCTTGTGTTAATAAATTTACAGGAAGATCGAGTAATAATTATTTCACTGACGTGAGTGTATATAAATTTTTGATTTGTTAGAAACACAAACAGGAGTTAAGAGGAATAGATGAAGACCTGGATTAGATTAGTGTTTACAAATAGTTAAGGATGTTTGGGAGGTACAATCGGAGACAAGGGTACATAAAATTAGGAATTCGTGATTAATTAGGTTTTGCACTATATCATGAGGTAAATAAATACTATCTATATTAAAGAAAAACTGCGTGATTTTTGTTTAAGGATGTTTGGGAGGTACAATCGGAGACAAGAGTTCATAAAAATAGAAATTCGTGATTAATTAGGTTTTGCACTATATCATGAGGTAAATAAATACTATCTATAACAAAAAGAAAGTATAAGATTTAAGAAAAAAATTGGAATTTGACCAAAAACATTGAATAAAACAAGAAATAACGAATAATATGGAAAATTTTTAACTGACCTTGATTTCAACTTCGAAACAAAAAAATATTTAGTTTCAATCTTTATTAATAATGAGCGTAAAACTTTTTAATATGTTTAAATAATAATTAAAACTTTAAAATTGCATTTATTTCAGACAATTATAAATATTATCATTATATTATCAAGTAAAAACGAGATTTTCAGCTAATTTTTCATTTTTTCCTCGATAACCATTTAGTGAATTTGAATAACCTTACGCTAAAGTGATTCTCCAGAGTTCAAGTTACTTATTATAAAAGTTTGAAATTTCTGGTAGCTTTTTTTCTGTTAATAAAAATAAATTTAATCTGTTCGGTTAACGAATCTCCATAAAATGACGTGTAAAATTACAATTTTTTAAAATTTCAATAACTTTTTAACGGTTTAGTGAATCGATTTGTAATTTTTACAGGAGTTTTAGAATTGAATGAGGAACGTTCTTCCAAATTTTTATTTGTTTCGTAGCATTTTGACATACCTCTCAAACATTCTTAAGGATGTGGGAAATGCGAAGATTATCTCAGGATGGGAGAAAGTGGAGGTGCGTGCTCAATCATTTATATAACTGACGACCCTATGGTGATGATACTGATAAGTTTAATTATTAAAAAACAACGTTGGCTATTGTCTGGTTGGTTGTACGTTAATTAGTTGTGATTATGACAATTCAAGCATATAATTTCCACTAATTAATTATATACTTTGCCTGAAGAGGTCAACAGGTCAGTTGACGAAAGCTAGCGTGTATATATAAACTACAAACACTATTTCGTATTTATTTATACCTGAATTGCCATAAACAATAATCTATTAATTTGAAAAATTAACTCGGTAAAGTTCATGTAGAAATTAATTTCGGTTGAGTAATACAAAATTTTCTTAAAATCGACATCACAGTCTTGAAGTGTTAGTTAGTTAGTTCGAAAAGCAATTACTATGTTGAAAAATGAGCCAAGAGGTTTAGAAATGATAAAAATAAAGGACAAATGGTCCCATATCAGTTGCACCAAACTTAACCAGAATTAGACAACAATATTTAAAATTAGGTGACTTTCCTCTAAGTGTAAAATTGTTAATTCAATTTAGTTTTATATTAGCCTATTAAGCCTATTCCTATACCTCCCAATAAGAACAGTGTACAATATTCAATGAGGAGTAAAATAGAAGAAAAAAAAACAAGCAAAACACAATGCGGAATTATTTTACAATTTAAGTACATCACCAAGCAAAAACTAACTTCACAACTCGTTACGGAATAATTCTCTAGAATATATTGTAAATAATAAAGTACAGCAGTACAACATTCATTAGTTTAATTGTCCAATTAAACATTTAGTTTTCAACTTATTACATACCGACTGTCCTTACATAACATAATGAATGTATTAGTTGGTAATGCTGCAATAACCAAATGGTTAATTCATTTGAAGCGTGACTTTTTGAAATGGATGACGCTGGGTTACTAATTTATCGCAAGATATTTACGCGTAACAGAATACACTTTCTGATAACTGAAGCTCATATATGTATACTGAGCGCCCACACGATAATTTATTATCAAAGTATTTACGTTATTTCTTTACTTTATTTCAACATTTCAATTTTTATAAAACTTACGCGCCTAGTCGAATATTTACAATATTTACTTTTATTATACAGTTGAGGTTCATGAAACTTTGTTGAACCAAATACACAAAAATACCATGAGCCAGGCCGAATATGGTCGGCCCATTGTTGGTGGTGCTTATATTCTAATTGTGGTGACATCTTCATGTATGTACACGCAACCAAATATACACCAAAATGTAGAAGTTGCAACATATCATTAGAATGCATGAAACCCACTGTACACCCGAATATAGACCCCGCCGACTATTTCAAACTTTTTTGGCATTTTAATATCTTTTTTAATAAAGTTGGATGAAATTTTACAAAACTCTGGTATTTAAAGAGTTACATCGATCGTTTTTAGGAAATTTGAAGCATCATTTGTAGTTTTTGTACAATTATTAACCGGAAAATGAGGTTTTTGGTCATGGTTAGTTGACCGTGGCACAAAGAGACAAACTTATGCTACAACATTATTAAATATGCTCAGATAGATATAAAATAATTACAAATAAAAGCAGAACAGAAAAACAATGGATGTTAATTATAAGCAGTTGTTAATTTTAATCAATTTCCTGATTTGAATTTTACGCCGATGGATGAGTTGATCTCGACATTTAAAACTGACTCAAAACGAAAGTTACTTCGTTTTTTAGTTTTCATTTTATTTATTTTTACAAATGTTATTTTATAAGAACTAAAGTTACGATAGAGGCAACAACACAGTATTTTATTGATCAGTATTTAAATATTATTTACCTATTAGGGGTTTCAATATTAGGGTGCAGGCAGTATTAAAATCCAATTGTCAAAATTTTTTAGTANTACCTTTGAATATTGTTTAAGAATGACTATATAAATATTTACATGCCTAGGAATGTATAAAAATTGGCATATTTATTAACTTTGAACCCCCATAACTTTTTATGGGGGTGAGACCGCCACGAACTTTTTATGGTACAGTGGTGGGGGAGACCTTCTCTTTCGACCCCCCCCCATCTAGACCTTTACCCAAATTATTTGTGAACAGTTATCCATATCTATACAGTTATCAAATTTATGTCTAACTCTACTGGTCTTAATTCCTTTTTGTACTTGTTATATGTCTCTAAACATCTCTTCAAGTCCTATCAGTACGTACCAACAAGAAACTGGTACAATCTAGATCTTATATTCCATCTTAAGTGGTCCTAAAAGGGCTTGAGGTAGAGAGGTTTTAATCGGTAAATCCCAGGACTTCTTCCTCGGGAATCCGACATTACCCAGTCGTAAGGACGGCTGGGTGTCTTTTGAAGATTTCCCCTCTTCCAGGAAAACAAAAAAAAATGTCAAACTTTGCATATATGTATAGTTAGGTATAATTGTACTCTGGAAGCCCTTAATAAATAATTCAACTTAAGGAACCATATCTCAAAAAGATGAGTTTTTACGACTTTTTGAGACTATTGATCTACCTACACGTCGGAAACTACCAGAATCTAAAGTTTCAAAGTGTTTGCCGGAGCGAAATTTTCCTATTGATTGTTTTTAGTGATGCATATCTAAATGCAAACGATACCTTTCAGCCTTGAATTCATTATTACTATATTTCTATATTTTTTAGTTTTTGTAATCGGATTTGTTGATAAGGCACTAGCGCATTTGTAATTAAAATGCATAATCCCTAAACAACATATGTTGATAAATTATATTATCGTACCATATAATATGAAAAGATATATTATAATCAACAATGATCAGGAAATACAAATTCATACTCAACGTTTATCTAAATATTTTATAGAAAATAGTTAGTTTCAAGACAACAAATTTTTGTGTAAATTATGTATATGAAAAGCCCTTCTATTTTAAAGGAATAATATTTGAAATTGGATTACTTCTTTATATGTAAAATTAATATAGATGAAGTTATTACTACCTAAAAGCCCAGTAATAATGTTATTTTGTAGTAAAATACAATTAACCCTACCTTATATTCATGTTAGATGCTGTAGATGCCACATTCACAACCGCTACCACCGCACAACAGAAGCAATTTCTTGTTGTTGAAGCAACTAAATTATTAACCGATTCTCCTGCCAATAGTCCTTAAATATTGATAAGATCTACCATCTGATTTTTTGATGGAATAAATAAGGAGTTCGTAAATAAATTGTTTTAGGTATTAACTATTTCTGAAGATGTATTGTATAACAACGTAATTCATTCAGAGTTTCTTTTATTAATAAAAGGCCAAAGTGTGAATAACTATTACTATTCAATTAATTATCTGATAGTTCAGGTGTCCGCATACATATGTACAAAAGTTTTTTAATATATGCATAATTAAGTACATACTTACATTTTTTATTCTATTATTCAGTCTTTTTATAAGCAAATGTTTCCTTTTGCTCCAATATCACAACATGTAAAGCACTATTCCTTATGTATCTTCTGGGTTAATTATTGCTATTTATAGTTGGACTTTTTCATCAAAACTTTACGCACTTCTGTTTATTTTTACCCGGCCAAATGTGGCTCTAATGACGTTAATACGCTAGACGCATTTACTATACAACATTAAAAGTTGACTTAAACCCTACAGTGAATGCATTCTGGTGCACCGATGCGACAGCGATGTGCTTAAGTAAGACGTGCGCTCTGCTCGGCGGTTTAATTATTTTTAAGTGGTGGACACAACAAGCCGTCTTGGACGTACAAGAACACCATTCGTTTTTCTCGGTCGCGGGAAATTCTTATCGGCCAATCGGGAGCGCACGCAATTCTCGCCGTGCCAAATGTTTTTTCTTTTTAGTAACAATGTATGTTACACACAACAAACAAAACAGACAACGGCCGCGAATAAAGTAACGAATGACGACGACGATCGCTCGCCAGTGTCATTGTTTACGACTGCGGTTTTCTGTCAGTAAGCTAATGACATTCTTGTACGTGGGTGTGTCGTATAATTATTGTACAATGCTTGTTCACAAAATAATGGGACCGTTAATGTACATTGTAATACAAACAATCGGCGAGGTTTATATACTATCTATATATACAACTATAAAAACAATAAAAGCTTCTAAGGGATTCACTATACATTGTGATCATCATTATTAAAGGGTTAGACACGCACCCCCACTCATTGCTATTCTGAGCCAACATTTGAACTTCCCTAAAACTATCACAGATCCCATATTTCAAATTACGGTAAATGTCTAGATGATGGCCCCCACCCCCGAAGGGGGGATCGAAAAAGGGTGGTAAAACTCATTAAAAAATTTGCGGCGGTCTCACCCCCATAAAAAGTTAATTTTTAGTTTTTAATTTAAAGTTGATTATTTTGACAATTTTCATACACTATAATTCAAATAAAATTCAATAAAAAAATTATTTTCAAGCGGGTGGAGGGGGGGGATCGAAAAAGGGTGGTCACTTGAACAAAACCCGATAACCTAACCTAACCTACCCTATTGATAAAGATATTTAAATAATGTTTTATATAACTTTCTCAATATTTTTATGTATTTTTCATTAGTTTAACCTTTGAATATTGTTTAAGAATGACTATATAAATATTTACATGCCTAGGAATGTATAAAAATTGGCATATTTATTAACTTTGAACCCCCATAACTTTTTATGGGGGTGAGACCGCCACGAACTTTTTATGGTACAGTGGTGGGGGAGACCTTCTCTTTCGACCCCCCCCCATCTAGACCTTTACCCAAATTATTTGTGAACAGTTATCCATATCTATACAGTTATCAAATTTATGTCTAACTCTACTGGTCTTAATTCCTTTTTGTACTTGTTATATGTCTCTAAACATCTCTTCAAGTCCTATCAGTACGTACCAACAAGAAACTGGTACAATCTAGATCTTATATTCCATCTTAAGTGGTCCTAAAAGGGCTTGAGGTAGAGAGGTTTTAATCGGTAAATCCCAGGACTTCTTCCTCGGGAATCCGACATTACCCAGTCGTAAGGACGGCTGGGTGTCTTTTGAAGATTTCCCCTCTTCCAGGAAAACAAAAAAAAATGTCAAACTTTGCATATATGTATAGTTAGGTATAATTGTACTCTGGAAGCCCTTAATAAATAATTCAACTTAAGGAACCATATCTCAAAAAGATGAGTTTTTACGACTTTTTGAGACTATTGATCTACCTACACGTCGGAAACTACCAGAATCTAAAGTTTCAAAGTGTTTGCCGGAGCGAAATTTTCCTATTGATTGTTTTTAGTGATGCATATCTAAATGCAAACGATACCTTTCAGCCTTGAATTCATTATTACTATATTTCTATATTTTTTAGTTTTTGTAATCGGATTTGTTGATAAGGCACTAGCGCATTTGTAATTAAAATGCATAATCCCTAAACAACATATGTTGATAAATTATATTATCGTACCATATAATATGAAAAGATATATTATAATCAACAATGATCAGGAAATACAAATTCATACTCAACGTTTATCTAAATATTTTATAGAAAATAGTTAGTTTCAAGACAACAAATTTTTGTGTAAATTATGTATATGAAAAGCCCTTCTATTTTAAAGGAATAATATTTGAAATTGGATTACTTCTTTATATGTAAAATTAATATAGATGAAGTTATTACTACCTAAAAGCCCAGTAATAATGTTATTTTGTAGTAAAATACAATTAACCCTACCTTATATTCATGTTAGATGCTGTAGATGCCACATTCACAACCGCTACCACCGCACAACAGAAGCAATTTCTTGTTGTTGAAGCAACTAAATTATTAACCGATTCTCCTGCCAATAGTCCTTAAATATTGATAAGATCTACCATCTGATTTTTTGATGGAATAAATAAGGAGTTCGTAAATAATAAATATGACACAAAATACATAGAAACAAGATAACAAGAAAATAACAATAAATTAATAGTTGTAACTATTATTAAACGGTTACGAAGCAATAATAATAATATAAACATACTTATAAGTACGTAAAATAAATTAAAAATTGAAAATTAAATATTGTTAATATTTACGAAAGACCGTATTGGAATTTAGAATATTGATAACAAAAGACTATTAAATTAGTCATTCGGATAAGAAAAACACTACCTTTATGTTTATTACTACTGTATAAGTAATTAGCAGTTATGGTTAATTACTCCATAAATCGTAAATAAAAATTAAAATTGGGTTTCCTAAAAATGTTTATACCTTCGGTCACTTTATAGATAAACTGAATATATAATAAATTGGAAACGTTGAATAGGACCATATTGAAGGGTTTCGAACAAATTTGTCTTGACGGGAATCCAGTCTGGAAGATTATTCCAACTTTTCTCGAGTATGTTTTAATCTTTCACCCAAAATCAGTCCCCAAAATGTATAATTACAATATTACAACTAAAACATATATTTTTTTGTTATGTAATTACAAATTTGGGTTGTTCCCTCTATTTGTGCTATAAGACATTGCTTCTTTGCAAAGAGGAGCAAAAGACTAGTAGGCATGCTTCGATTTGCAGATGATATAGAAATATTAGCATCTAGCAAGGAGGAAATAAAATAGAAGCGGTATTGACAAAACAGTATTGTATGAAAATAAATAAAAGTAAAACAAATATGCTAGTATGCAAGGGAAGAGAAAGTAGGGAAAGCCTGTTCTAGTTTTAGGGAAATGCGAAGATTGACTCAGGTTAGGAAAGAGTGGAGGTGCGTGTCCAACCAGTCTCAGGACTGACGACCTTATGATGATGACTGAAACTCTACTGATTGACTGTCTTTTCTTCACTTCTCCACACCTCCCAATTCCATTTTCCTTTCATCTCGATATTTACTTAATAATTTTAATTAAATACGAAAAACTAAAAAGATGAGAAATTTCATCCCTTTCAGTTGTCTTCAATCGTCAAAATTCTTTTAAGTAGCATCATCGAATCTATTACAACAGGAACTGTTGTCGGATTGGATACCATTTTATGTATTTATGACTAAAATCCTAATAACAGTATAAAATTGAATTTCGGATTTTTATTTAATGATGCCCATTACGGTGATGCTAATCTCAACAAATAAAAAAACTGCAGTATTGTCATTATTTTGTTAAAGTTCATCTGTCATTTTAAATGAAAAAAATTGATGGTTAATTATCACATGATTAGGGAAATGCTTTTTGAACTTTTACCATAAAAAGTTGGAAATGCAAGATGGTTTGATTAAGTATACATATTTTTCATTTACGTATGTACCTTGACGTTATAATTATTATTTTAGTTTTTTAGACAGCGAAAATTAATTATTCATTAGATGATAATAACAGGTTTACCTTTAGCTGACATTTAAAGGCAACAAAGGGATTACGTTTCGTCAAGTAATTAGTGAATTAATTTTGACATTTATCGAAAAAAGTATTTTAATAAATAGCTGTTACATTTGATGATCATTTGTTAAAGAAATGGTTTGATTCAACTTTCAACCTTTGAATGGTAAGAGGTCACTGAAGACGGAGTTCTGTCGTGTCCTGAATTTTATTCCCAAAATGATACAGATTGCACAGGTTGGGATTAAAGCACTTAATGTGTTTTGTAATTTTAGATCCCTATATTGTTTAAGAGTGTTAGAGGGATATATCATCCTTAACATTGTTAGCCATATTGTAATAACTTTCGATATCTAGGAATTCAGATAATTGAGGTTGGAAGGAGCAGTATAGATATAAAAGAACGGGTAGTACAGGGTCGAATTACCTTCAGCAAAAAGAAGTTAATTCTAATTTAAAAATTCGAAAAAGATTCTTAAAAATGTATGTCATGGGACATGGCTTTATATGAGTGTGTGTGATGGAAAGGAAAATGTTAGAAGCATTCTAATGATGAGGATACCGTGGATAGAGAAGGTTAGAAATGAGGAGATATTAGAAAGAGTAGGAGAACAGAGGGACTAACTATGGAAGTTAATAGAAAATAGGTGAGGTAGGTTGGTAGGGCACCTTCTTGGGCATGCAGGGCTTGTTATTGGTATTTTATAAGCAGAAACAGGAGTTAATGGGGGTAGAGGTAGACTTGGATTAGATTACTTTTCAGAAGTAGTTAAGGATCTGGGTTGTTTTAGTGACAACCCTATGATTATGATGACTACATATAAAAAATTGAACTGCTGAAGGCGAAGGCAGCGTAGGTTAATAAAATTTAAATTAAAGTTTGTACCTACAGTGTAATACACGAAGAAAATAAAAAAAACTACAAAAACATTAGAAAAAAATTCCCAAAGCACTGGTAGTACTTACAACAATTAATTTTTGGAAAACTGCAAGTAAACAAAGGAAATAGGAGGAACAAGTTACAGCAAGGGAACTTAAACAAGAGCGGACTGAAACAGAAACCACGATGAGAGTAATCATTTTTGTTGTTTTAAATATAGGGTTGTTCGGAAAGTCATTTCGTTTTTTTTTGTGGAAATGAAAGACAGTTTTCGTAAAATAAACAAATACATTATTAAATTATATATTGACCGTTCTGGTCCAACACCTTTTGCCATCTTTCTGGTAGTAGCATAATTCCACGCTCATAAAATTTTTGGTCTTTGCTGGCAAAAAACTGATCGAGGAGGTTTTTGACCTCCTCATTTGAGGTGAAGGTTTTACCGTCTAAAAAATTTTGGAGTGACCGGAACAAATAATAATCCGATGGTGCCAGGTCTGGAGAATATGGTGGGTGTAGCATTGTATCCCATTCAAGCTGTAAAAGCTTTTGGCGAGTGACCAAACTTGTGTGAGGTCTCGCGTTGTCTTGGTGAAACACTACACCTTTCCTGTTGATTAGTTCTGACCTTTTCTGTTGAAGTGCATCATTCAGTTTGTCCAGCTGATGACAGTA